GGGGGGGGGGGGGGCGCAGCAGAGCTCAGAGCGGGAGAGCCGAGCCCGAGCCGACCCACGGTGACGTCAGCAGCACGTAAATGCCCCGGCTCGCCGCTGCCTCGCTCTTTTACCTCCCCCGTTCAGTTAGGGCGACAGGCCTCGGATCCGTCCCCGGAAAGAAGAACACCGAAGCGGCCAAAATGATCATCTACCAGTGCATCGTCACCGGTGAGCGGTCGACGCCTGTGCGCCGGTTGACGGTTAGCCGAGGCGGCGGTTACGGCGGTTATTTTCCGTTGTGTCTTATGTTTACTGGAGAGCGAGAGAGAGAGAGCGTTAGCCGTTAGCCGTTAGCGACCGTTAGCTGCCGTTAGCGACCGTTAGCTAACTCGTGCGATCGGGAAGCTAACCGTTAGCCACCCTGATGCTGAGGCCGGTTAGCTTTTCATCCTTTCTTCTGTTTCTCTTTGTCAGCCGCGGGTCGACTGCTACGTTTTTTAAAGTGGGTTAAAAGGTAGTGAAGAGTGGCTCCAGTGTGCCGGTTAACGGGGGTGTTACCGGTGTTTGTTTAACGTTAATAAACTGTCGGTGGGTGTAGAAGCAGCGTCGGTCGCGGTGAAGTCCCGCGGCCTGTCGGCGGTTTATTTATACTCCTCTTTTATAATCTGATACACTGACCTAATGTATCACAAAGGGTTTCCCCTCGCCTTTAATTAAATAACGAGTTAACAGCTGTTAAAAAAGAGGAGAAAACTTTAACTGGTGTAGTTTATGGCGCAACCTCGGAGCCACGTTAGGCCGCAGACTTTGTGTGGAATAAAGTGATAACTATGTTTATTATCTCAATGTTTATTATCTCAATGTTTATTTGTTTGTTTGTTTGTTTCCGCCGAAGGGGATGAGATGTTCTCCGACATCTACAAAATCACCGAGTCTAAGGACGGCATCTTCTACGAAGTTGAAGGAAAGGTGAGTCTGTGGGATTTAATAATAACACATGAAAGGGACACTTCACCCTGTTACACCGGGATTTAGTTTCACTGCTAAAAGGTAAAATAAGCGTTAAAATAAAAGTTATAAAGTGTCTTTTAGTTACTTTCCAGAGGAAGGAAGTTTACACAAAGCAAAGCTACAAAGGCTTTTGATGGTAGTTGCCCATTTTAAAGTAATGTTTCACAAATTACAAAAATAAGCGTAATTAAGTACAAGTTTCCTTAAATTACCCTTTTTAGTATTTATGGGGAAGGTGAGACGTCACGTTTCACACTTAAATTAAATTAAAGGACACTTTTTATACAGATAAAGTCTTAATTATGTTTCCAGAGACTCAATAAACAGTTTCTGTAGGAAATGTGTTTACAAAGCAGAATTATGAGAAAGATATTTAACTTAACCACAATAAATGATCTCCCAGCCTTTATCTCTCTCCATAATGTTAAGTTTTTAAATATATATATTTCTTTAAATGTAATTTTACCGACATTCAGGTTTATGTGTGAGTCACGTTGATCACGTGATCGCTCTTTCGCGGCTCATGTGCGGTGACGTCACCAGCAGCCTGATGACGTAGAGGACAGAGAGAGAGGGAGGGGTTGGTGTAAAGAGCAGTCCCTCATCTTAATAATAATAATAATAATAATATAATACATTTTATGTGTAAAAACACTTTTCATAAGAAAATGTCAAAGTGCTACAGAAACCAAAACAACACAAACCTGCCTGCTGCTACAATAAGTACTGAACACCACTGATGTACAGTTAAACATGTGATAACACAATAATAATACTAATCATCTCACCGGTCTCTTACAGAGTAACGTGTGAATGTAGGTGTAGTTGACCGGGGTTCACTAATATAATATAATATCATCACACTGCTCTGTTGGGCCTTTTTAGTTAGTTTAGTTAGTTTTACTGCTAAGAGGCCAGCAGATAAAGACACTGTAGTCGAGACTGCAGGTTTTATAAAAATATAAAATGTTCCCGTTTTCCTTCTGTTGTAAAGTAAACAACCCTGTGTCCTCGTTCAGCAGCGTTTCTGTTTAAAGAAAACATTTTAGTAACGATGGTAGATTCAAAGTGGCAGCTATCTCCGGCCCACTGATCCACCACAACTTCACGTCCCCGTCCCCCCCTGCCACTCACGTCTGTCTCCTGCTGCTCCCTTGTTCTTTAATGTTTCGCCAGCACGTCCCCACCCAGGACATGAGGGGTTCGACGAGTCCTGCATTTCGGCCAAACGGGCCTCTTGCTGAAGACGGCGGTCGGAGGGGCACCGACGCAGAGCTCGCGTCTCCCGCGTAGTTACCATCAATCCTTCAACCACAAGCTGCCAGGCAGACGGCCTTTCGCACAAGAGAGGGTTACGTTACCCTACATGAAAGACTACATGAAGGGCGTAAGTGTCTGATCTTCTGGGGGGGGGGGTTTTTAAACCACGTTCTAAGGGAATTATAACGGTGTTCCTACCGTGGAACAGAATATTTAAACTGTCACTGCTTCGTGCGCGTCCAGCATTAAGGGCTCACCTGGGGAGAAGCAACAACCAGAGAGAGTGGAGAAGTTCCATGCTGACGCTACACCCAGCATTTGAAGCTGGGTCCTCCCCGCAAGACTTCAAGAACCTTCAGGTTACGCACGTAGAGTCCACACACCACACACACACAACACACACACACACACCACACACCACACACACAACGACACACACCAGGGATGTCTTGAATCCGTTTCTATGACAACAATATCTGGACAGTGGCTTTCTAGGCTTGGTGTTTTAAACGATATAAAGATGTTTCTTATTTTATTCTTCCAAGGGAGAAGTTCCAGTTGACTCCGCAGGCAGGGTTGGGGCAAAAACAAAGAATATCACAAATAAAAAATATTGTTGCTATTAACATTAGAAGATATAAAACTATAAATTAAAGTGTATACACTATTTGTTTTGTGTAAAGCAACGACTACAGAGTTTAGTATGACGAGATACTTTCTGGCTGTTGTCCTCTGACTTGCCGTCTTTTGTCCTCGTGAAGTTTTTCTTAGGGGAGAGCATGAACCCAGACGGCATGGTGGGACTGTTGAACTACCGCGAAGATGGCGTCACACCATACATGCTTTTCTTCAAAGACGGTCTGCTGGCTGAGAAATGTGTAAGTAACTCAGCTGAGTCATGAAAACAAGCAGATGTTTAACTGTTCAGTCCCATAAAGTGACGTTAAGTGATGTACAGTGACACTTTTTACCACAGGAACAAATCTGATTGGGCTGACGTCAAATGTTTTCCAGCATATTCTGCCTCTAAAACTCATTTTCTCTCATTTAAGAGGTCTGATGGGCAAATAGCTTCTCTTGTTGCTAAAGTAACTGCTGCCCATAGATAGTATGACAAAACAAGGGAAAGATATAATCCACCTTTGGACAGGATGTCGAGTTACTCATGTGAAAAGAGGCTTTATTAGATGACTAATAACACAAATTTCCCATTTTTCTTGCAGTAACTATCTGGAAATACATCTGCTTTTCAATTGGCTGCTGCTTCTCGAATGGCCCCAAGAGCAGACTGAAGGAGCACTATTTTGCATCATGCCTGAAAGGAAACATTCTTCTACAGTTTCTTGTATATTCACATTATGGCCCACAGCACCAACTCCCAAAGCCCAAAGCTGGGTGAATCAAACATGATTGGTCACTGAAAACCGTTTTTAAACCTTCTTTTTGGCTTTTGCAGTGTTTGACTTTTGGCTCGGTTGTTGGGATTGAAAACTAGTCAGGACTGTGACCGGTGCCACAAACAGATGTTTTTTTTCTTCTTGTGTCTACCGTTTTAACAATGATCCATACAAGTTGACCTCTGACCTCTTTGTTTATGGTTGAGTATGATTCCATCTACAATGACAAGACCTCCGGTTTAATTTCAAAATAAAGTCTAGTACCACCACTTCCAGTTCTTCTGTGTGTTTGTCAGATATTGACGGGAAACATTTCTGCATTTAAAGTGTTTTAGTGCAGTTGTGTACTTGCATTATTAAAACTAAATGTTTCTAAGTATGCTCAAACTTATTTAGGGAATGGCACATTTCCTTAACTAGCAGGTAAAAGTAGGATAAACAATCTTGTGTTTGAGTGTAAAAGTTAAAACATTAAACATGCAAACTTTTTAAAGATGTGATTTAATGCATTTTGTATCAAACTATATGCACAATACTCAGTTCTTTTCCTTTTATTTTAAATATTCCTACTAAAAGGTGTTTACATGGCTGATATTCCCTTTACATGCAGCTGTACATCCTATAGAGGAATATCTCTCGTAGTCAAAGTGGAACAACCGAAGCTGCTCGACCCTTCTTGCCTCTTTATCGGTGGTAAACTTCTCCGACCGTGTGAACAGTTTTCTTCTTTCATTCGTTCAACCACCTTCTGGAGAAAGGTCGTCCTTATAGTTTACACATATCCAAAAACCAAACCTGTTAAACTTCTGTTTTAAAAGTAGATGTGTTTTTCCTTCTGAACAGAAATAAGTTTTTACAACAGAGCTGATCATAGACTGGTAAATGCTCCACTCAAACCCTAATTAGGAATTCATTTAATTAACATCCAAATGGACTACACAGTTTATATGACTTATCAAATGATGAATATTGTCTTGTTCTCAATATTAGTGGAAACTCGGCGTGCATGTGAACTTAAAGAGATAAATATATAGAGAAATGTGTGTAACCAACTAAAAGGTCCAGTAGGGGGCGATCGACACTGATCCAGTTTATAAATGATGGTTAACTTCAGTAGTGACGACTGTACAAAGCCACAGATCCAGCTGTTTATATAAGACAAGACCTCATACGTCCACTTTAATGTAAATCTTATATATAAGTTAATTGTTCTGGTTACATTTCAAATTAAAAAAAAGTTTTTATTTATATATATTTTTTTATGTTTTTCAGTTCAGTTGAGTTTTAGTTTTTTAATATGAGGTGAGATGATATTTGTACAAACACACTGACTGATCATTTCTCTGTAAACATAATGTGCCAATATCTCCTCCTCATGCTTGTGTTGACATATTTGACCAAATTTACAAAGACTAAAGCTAAAACACATTTCCTGTATATTGTTAGTTTAATTAGTTTAGTTAATACACAATATTGTTTCGGTTCATATTTTTATTTCAGTTAAGTAAGATGATTTTTCAAACCTTGTTTTAGTTCAGTTTCAGTTAACTATAATAATAATAATAATAATAATAATAATAATAATAATCTCTAGTCGGTCACAGACATTTAAAACATTCACCTTTCAGCTCGTGTAGTTAAAAATCCAAATTCTTTTTTTTGGTATTGTAACAAAAAGGGAATCAATAGTTTTGCATTTTAGATTTATTTCATGTTTTTTTTTCCACTTCCAGACATATTTTATTCCTCAGCGTCCAAAAAGAACTGATTTAAATCATTCACTGTGAACAATATGTCTGTTTATTTATGTGATGTGCTACCTAATGCAGGGCAGACCTTTCCACCCTATAATAGTATCAACTTAAACATTATGAACTCAAAACCATCACATACTACCTGCATTTGTAATAAACAGCAGGTTTTCTACAAGTCAGTGAAAAACCTGAACTCATTTGCGAGCGGCTGAAAGCTCGGAGCTGTATCCTCGCCAGGCTCAGAGGAACTCGCTGGAACTACGCCGTCTGCATCTCCTCCTCTTCCTCGCCAGACTCGTAGTGTCGGTACTCCGGCTTCAGTTCCCAGGTGCTTTTGTGAGCTCCCTTGTTGTTGTACGTCCCAATGTCCTTCATGATTTCTTTCAGGTAGGTCTGGAGAAACAGGTCGACAAGTGTTTTTGTGTATAATTGATATCTAACCGAACAATTATACCTGTGTGAAAGGTAAGACAGAGACTTGGATGAAGGCCAGGCTAACTGTTTCCCCGTTTCCAGTCTTTATACTAAGCTGAAATGTCAAATTGTTGCTTTAAATTAACACTTTGTCATTTTGGAAAATTTGCTGCCGAGTTAGTTGAGAAAATCGACACCACAAATAAGTTTTCTACAGTAAATATGTAGTTTCCCTTAAACATAAATACAGGAAACAGCTCTGTTGTAGTGGCTGAAAGTAACTGAGTACATCTACTCCAGTACTGTACAATCTTTATGTCCTTACACTTTAATTTGATGCACAATATCCGGGGAAGTACTAGAAGCAAACAGGTTGGCATTACATTATCTCCCTACAGTATGTGCGTGTTTTAATGCAAGCTGTCCTAAGAAGTGTACAGTTTTCTACTTTTCCCTTCACTTTCTATGTGTTGTTACTTTCTACAATGAACCTGTGCAGAAATCAGCAAAAACCTGAACACACAAGCCGTTACTCTATGAAAAGTGGCCCCTGGATGAGGGTTTATAGATTCAATGACTTCAAGAGGATCAAGATGTTGGTCCTTAATGGCAATTAATGAAATAATCTTGTGTATTTATTATTTTTTTTACTAATATAACTAATGTTTCTAGTCTAAATGCAACTTTTGAGTGATTATACCAACTAACTAGAACAGTTGTATTACACAGTACATCACTTGAAATGAGGCGGATGGTCAAGTGGTCTGTTTTTTTCTCTATTTCTGGCTATTGTTGTAACAAATGTCTGACTAATATTTAACATTTGAATGACACTAAGATCACCACCCATATAAAGTAGCTTCATCAGTAACTGGAGGCCACTGCATAACGTTTCATCCAATACTTCTAACCCACTGCATTTCAGAGATATATATAAAGATATATATATATTTAAACTTTACTGGAAGTTACAGGAATACAAAACATATGCAACAATTAAATTATAATATATCATTACAGATTGAGCTAAGAGGTAGTATATAGATTATTATCTGTACTATTCAAGTGATGCTTATACGATTAATGTATCAATTATAATAAAATACTAATATTATTCTAAAATGGGCCAATCGATATGATAAATCCCTTTACTTTTGGTGCTTTCACTGCATTTTAATGCTGCTACTCGCTGTAGTATCACAAGATCTGAACATTTGTTCCACCATTGCTCTGTTCAAAGGTAACAAAATCCACCTATCAGCACCTCCTGACGCTCACTAACACCTTACATCTTGGTGGTTTGTGGTTGACTCGATGTGGATTTCCAGAGGCGGATTATATTTTATTATTGTTTCCAGTCTTTGTGCTAAGCAAAGGAACCAGCTGCTAGCAGTAGTCCCTGTCTGCTTTATATATGAGACTAAGTCAGCTGCCGGGGCCAATTTCCTTCTACTTGTGTACTAAATGGTGGTTTCCCTGTGCTTGCACTCACACACCCAGCTGTGCTTCTCATTTTAACAAGCTTAGATGTTTCTTTTGTGTACTGACGGCACCGTTTAGTTTCACAAACCTAATTTCTAACACTGAGCAGCAGCTGTAGGAGACCCTTTACTCTCCAACCACCACTAGGGGTCTGTGTTGAGCTTATAGAGACGTGCCCGATGAATAACACTGATGCGTTTCCAGACTTTTTCATAATGGGCATTTCGGTTACTTTAGTTCAGCTAATTTGAGTGTTAGCCAAGTACTTTAGGAGAGAGATGATTGTGTGGAGTGTATTGCGGCGTTTGACTCCTACTCAGCCGATGGTTATGCAATCAGATGCAATCAGAGGGAGAGAAGGACCTCAAGGTCTCATCAGCACCTACACATTGCTGTTTTCTGCGAGCTGGAACGAATCCACGGCACTGTATCGATTCATCCCGTGTTCGTGTGTGTGTGTGTGTTGTTGTGTGTGTGTGTTTGGGCGCATGTTGGGCAAATTTCAGCCCAAAAGATAGTGTGAACAGGCATGAACGTCATGCGGTGGCCGATTTTGCAAATTTAACAAAGCAGGTTGATAGTGGCAGGTGTATTGTTGTGTTTGGTCTTACAGCTTTGTGTGGTGTGTGTGTGTGTGTGTGTTGTGTGTGTGTGTTTGTGTTGTGTCTCACCAGTTAGATTGTTTGGTGATGTCCACCAAGTCTTTAATGTTGGTAATACTGGTTGTTTCTCAAAGGCAAGAAGGAATGTCCAACACGACCTGGCCGCTAGGCCTCACCATCCTTGCTTCTGGGACTTCTTCTTCTTATCGTAGCAACCAACTGAGAATAATAATAATAAAAAAGCATGATGATGATTAAATAAGAACTAATAATAATTATACTAAATAATAATAATAATAGAATTATATCATGTAATACACAGAATGTCTTAAATGTCATTAGTTGTTTAATCAACATTTCAGCCCCAAATCGAATACGTATATTTTCACAGGTTGATAAGAAATACTGTGATGAGTACTTACTGAACTTTTAGTGGTACAAGCACTGTTGGAGATGCCTCTTTTAAAAATAATTTTTAAAGCCTTTTAACCTGAAGTTGGTAATTACTTACACTAATATTTAAAAAAAAATGGTGATATTTACAGTTTCAACAACTTTTTACACATCAGTAGCTCGATTTTCTAGATTGTTGTCAGCACTCAGGTTAGATTTTAGTCAGGGCTGGCCCTTACATTGCAAGCAAACATGGACTTTTACTGCATCATTTTTGTAATTAATATCAATGGGTAATATTGTGTTTTTTTAATCAAAGAGTTACACAACAATACACCACACACACCACCCGTATATATGATACCAGCCTTGTTGGTTATTAGTTCTCATCATTGAGTCGTGGTTGCGCCAGCAGGCTTGAAGACGGTAAGTGATGGCTTTCTCACAGTCTGCTGCGACAAACGTGGAGCTATGGTGGATTCGTTGATCTGCTGCCCTGAGCACCACACACACACACACACACCACACAGCAACACGCACACATCACACACAGCACACAACACACACGACAGCAGATAAAGTTAGATTTTTGATTTTTCTGTGATCTAGTTTGATTCCTGCTGACAGACCTTTGCCCTGTAGGGGGCACGGAGAAACGCGTCAGCTTCCTCGAGAATCAAACTTAACAAAGATAATAACAGCAGCTACTCGTCCAAAAGACATCTCTGCTTTCTATTTATTTGTATTTGTTGCCTTTATTCATCTTTGAACATTTTATTCAGACTGATAGCACAAAGAAAAAAACAGCATAACCTTATGAGCCTGGAAGAAATGTAAGACACAAAAAGCCACTGGCAGGCTGCCCGATGATCTGCCCATAAATAACGTGATGTTTCCATAACGACATACGAACATAAACAGCCTATGCTAATGAGCCGTTATGTATAGTAAAGCTGATGTATTAGAAAATTTTCTGTCTCTTGCAGAGCTCTTTTTAATGTCTCTGTTCTCATTGTCTTTGTCGATTAGTACACATTTATCCTCCATATATACACAAAAATGGATTGCTCACCAATAACATTGCTAAAACTATTGATAATAGTTTAACATTTAATGAAGAAAAATCACCTTCCCTAAATACGCATAATAAGTCATTTTTAATTATGTATTAAGTGTATGAAAATGTTTTTTTAACTGTATCATCAATTTTTATTCTCTAATAGGCAAATTTATGTGGCTTCCATTTATTTGCTTTAATCTACAGTGAGAAACTGGTGAATGTCTCTACCATAACTGTTGAATTTTGTGCATATCGCACACACACACCACACACACACACACACACGACACACACACACACACACAACCACAACACACACACACACACACACAAACACACACACACACACCACACACACACACACACACACACATGACAACATAATGCCCACGATGGAGGGACATATTTGTCAGCTGCCATCCAAATGGGAGATTATAAAACTGGAGTGAAAAGTGAAGCCTTCCCTTGTCAAGTCAGAAAATAAAATATAAATTGGACAAAATCTAAGTTCAGTCTGTACTCCACAGTACTTCACAGTACCACCCTGTAACGTCCAAGGAGAATCTCAGCCAAGATGTTCAGCACAGAAATCAGAAGAAAAAAAAAAGACGCTCTGTCTTTTGAGGGCAGACGACGGCGACGACGGTCACAGAGAGGTGTTTATGTGTGTGGTGTGAATAATTAAAGTGATTTCCCTGTAATGTTTCGTACTGATTTGACGGCTGACACCACACACCCCAAAAAAAGGCAAACTGTGTGTGTGTGTGCGTGCGCGCGTGCGCGTGTGCGTGTGTGCGTGTGTGTGTGTGTGTGTGTGTGTGTGTTTGCCTTGGGTTGTATTGTAGCAGTGCATCTGCCACGGTGATGCGGTTGCTATAGCAATGCCATCCACTAACTAGCTGGAATAACGGATTCCAACGAAGAGGAGACAGAAACCGTTTGAAAAAGGCAGAGTGGAGTCGAGTATTTAGTGTACACAAATAAACAGTCGCAGCAATGCCCCCTCTCCGCCAGAATTAATTTACAACACTTGAACAGATTTTATGTGTTGTCCAGAGGTGGGAGAAAGAAAAAAATTAAACAGCAAAATCAAATGCTGGCCTGACTGTTTTTATGCATCTGTGTGTTAATTATTACACTAATTTTAAGAATTATTCTTATTTGAGGGGTGTAAGTTGAAGGGAATATTGGATTTATGTTATGTTATGAAGGGTTTTTTTTGTTTAAAACGTCCATTTGCTGGATTATAATGTGCATTAATATTGTATTCTTTGCCCATTATTCCAACCCAATGCAACCACGAGGCACAATAACATTTGACTGTGCTCTGAGCTCAACAATTTCAAAGTTCACTCACTTCTTCAGCTTCATGTAGTTGTCATTGACGACCGGCCTGCATTCAGCTCTGTGCACCACCATCCCCTCCAGACTGATTTCATCTACAACAAAGACAGTGACTCAGCTGCTCAATCGTGATTCAGACACATGCACACAGACAAACTCAGTGTGTTGGACAAAACAAAAAGAGTAAAATTAAATAAATGTAAAAACTCTTTATTTAGGAAAATAATCCACATTTTGTTGCTGTAAAACATACACATACATATTCAATGATTAATGGCATTTTATAACATAAAGTATCCATAATTAATTTGTAACTTGTAAACAGTCAACATAAAAATTACAGTACTCAGTTTTTTCTAAAAGCTTGAATATATGAGAACAAAAATAGACGCTCAACATCAGCAATAGTCCCTCGTTTAATGTGATTAAACACACATTTATTGGATCCAATATGACATAATGAGAAAGACACACACGTTCACGTAAGTCCAGAGAAGGATATTAAAAAGTACTGAAGTTCAGCGAGGCGGCTGTCACGCACTGCTCACGCACTCTGCTGCGTGTCCAAGCCGTCAGTCGCCCAGCAGAGAGGGAACAAAGTGCCAGAAGGGCTTCCCTCTCTGCGGCACTTCGTGGCCGTTTACCAAACTGTCAGGAAGGGCCACCGGGGGAGGAACCAGAGCGTCCCTCCACATGAAGTCACGCTCACAGCAGTGGAGGCTCTCTGAACTAAGGAGGAGGGTGCAAAGAACCAGGTGAACTGTGGGACTGTGAGCTTTTACCGCGGACACCAACAGACACCATCGTCTTCATGGTGACATCGGGCAACATTTGAACAAAAATAACCTCTGAATCATAAAACATTATGCTATAAAATACATTGCAGAGCTGAAACAATCAGTTGATTAATGGTTTAGTTGATGGACAGATTATCAACAGATGTATTAAAGTACTTAAGTACAATTTTGATGTACTTGCTTTACTTGAGTATTTCTATTTATGCTCCACCACATTTCAAAGAGAAATATCGTACTTTTTACTCCACTACATCCATTACAGTTACTATTATAGATTACACCAGAGGTTGTGAAGCATTTTGGCTTCTGACCTGCAACAAAAAGCAGTGTTTGGTTGAGGCCCCTTGCCACATTTCAGGTGTCTGAGTCTATTAGCAGTTCTACCAAAGAGGCATTTCTCCTCTAAACTCCTCAGATGGTGGGAGGGTTGTGAGTCATCCTAAGTCAGTGGTTGCCAACCTTCTCTGTTTGTGTATCTCTACAGCCCTTTAATAATAATATAATAGTGAATAACAGTCGATGTTTAGGTCTGTTACATATACTACATAACAGTAACCTATCCATTAGTTTTATCTAACAATTTCAACCATTTATCCACTTGTTAGTCAAGAGTTGTTAACAGCTCTGCCAAACACACATTTCCCCTCTGAACACATGGTTTTAATTTTAACAGCTACTCAAAAAGGGGTCAATTATCCAGTATTTTACGCAAAAACTGGTACTTATTACGGTTTTCTGCCCCAATAATCATCTCACGACCCCTTGGATTCATCTTGTGAGCCTTTGAAGGCACCCAACCCCTAAACTGAGAACCAATGCACCAAACTAGATCCACCTAGACCAGCTCAAAGAGTAAAATGATGAAAATGTGTATTAACAATCTAATGTCTAAGTGTCTAGTGTCTAAGTATAATAATACATAATGTCATTTTTCTGCAGATAACTCAGATAAATCAAATACTTTTAGTACATTTAGCTGATAATACGGTTGTACTCTTACTCAAGGACATTTAACTGGATATTTTTATACTGTGGTATTAGAGAGTTCGAGGTTAGGCTGAGCTCCAACAAGAATATCTGTGTGGGTCTCTACAACATTACAAAAAACATTATTTTTAACAACAGATAATGCATTTCTTTAATGTAATATTTCTGTTAACGTTACATTACGTTAACTACTACTCTCTTAGATTATGTATTGACTTCTTGCTTCGATTGGATTTACAATTTACACCCGTTAGGTTATTATTTATTTATGCCCAAATGTTAGAGACCCCCACAAAGCTCAGATTTGGTATCAGATTCTGGTATTCGGTACTTTAGGATCCGTCAACCGTCCATAAACCCTCCAGCAACCCTGCCACTCCTCTCAGTGTGACATTTTCAGCTATTTATGATTTTTATTTATAAATTATTTTTTCCAAGCTGTTCTTTCATAAGGTGCTTCAGCCAATTATTCAACTGTCCAACCCACAACCTTTTTCCGAAACCATTTGATGCCTCTTCTGCTCCTCTCCAATCAGTATTGGGAGCTGCTTTTCAATTTATTTATTTTTTCCTTTTGCAGATTTCGAATCGAGGAAATGGTGGAGTCCAGTTGGTGAGCGTTGGCGTTATATATATTGGCAACAGCTCGGTCTATTGTGCATTGTTATATGATTGGCTTTGTTTGTATCTGGAAACATGAACAGGTCTGAGAAGCTGCCACGTTTCACACATCAGTTAACAAAAACCAGCAGACAGAGAAGCTCAAAGGGCAAACAGAGAGGAAGTGTACAGAGAGCTGTGGAGGTCATACACAGACTGCGAGGCTTTGATAATGAACAGACTGACAGGCCCCGGATGACAAGTGGAGGAGGGAGAGAGGCTGTCAAAACTTACTTTTTACGTTCTCTTACAATTTCCAGAAATAGTTGAGGGTTCCTCAGGTGTGAAATCCTATAAACTCTGAGTTTGTAAATCCTCAGGTGTACGTGCCAAATTCCCTCCCTCGTCCACGCGCTTGCCTCACTAAACGTCTTTTTCTTCCTTTTTGTCTTCACTTCCCACTTCAAAACGTGGGCGAGAAATGCAAAGAAAAGACACAAGGGGAAAAGACGTCTCTCCCTCTTACGCGTCATCCGAACCAACGTCAGTTTTCTGATGACGCCGACACAGCAGGATCACCTGTCAGTCATCGTCAGCTGCTCCGCGGTGTCTTTTGTTTCCTGGTCCGTATTTCCACAGAAAATGGGATCTACTATTCAGATGATATCAAGGGTGCATATTTCCGCTGCTTGTGTGCTCATATTGTTTTATTGAAGTCCTCCTACGTGACAGATATTTGCCTCTGCGTGTTGTCTCTTAAAAACATCCGCACATGCACAATAAACCTCTATTCAGAATGTGTACAGATCAAAGCACCACTAAATTTAAGGGTCCCTCCCTGTGTACGGTCTGGACGCGCTCTATATGAAAACTGAGACTAACTGAGATAACTTCTGTTATGATTTGGAGTTATATAAAGTAAAATATAGATTGAAATATTCACTGCTCAAACACTGGAAGCACATGAGCCATTTCTACTGGCAGCGAAGCATTTTTGTATTCATTAATTATTGATGTCTCCATTTATTGAAGTCCTACTTGTAAAGTCCCTTTTTAAATATTTATGATTGAAATGCCACAAATGTGAAGGAATAATTTAGTGTCTTATGTATGTTATTATTCCATATATAAATGACACTAATAATAATAATAATATATTTTTATGATTCTTTTTAAACATATATCCACTAATTTAACACAATGGCACATAAGAAAACAAAGTTGGGAATACTAAAACGCCTGCGTTGGTTTTAGGTTCTTTGTGTGTTGACCTCAAGCCTCCTATAGGAAGCTTCCTTGCTCCCCTGAGTCCTTATAGTCCTCCGATATCCTTAATACTGTCAGATCTGATTAATTGATCAAGGAGCGATGAAATTAGGTAAATGGTGTGTATGTAACATGCGGCGCATCTTCTTCTTGGTTCAGATTGGGTGTTAAAAACTCTAAAGTGCCTTGCCAACTTGCCACGTGTAAGTGGACTTACAAATATTGCATCTTTGAACACAAATTATTAAAGCACTGCCTAGTTTATGGTGAGATGTTACTGCCTCAGTTACCACTGTGTTATTGTTATTGGTACTGGTGAAAAGTTTAAGAGTCAAATGGTGTTGACTCATGGAAATAGTTAATCATGAGTCATCTTTCACATTTCTTTATTGCCTTTAATTGGTAGAGAAAGCTGAAGAGCGACAGGAAAGGGAGCAGATAGAGAGGATGACAGACAGCGAAGGGCCGCAGGTCGGAGTCGATGGCTGCAGACAGGAGCTCTACCAGGTGAGCTACCAGAGGAAATTTATATATTAAAAATACTGTGTAAAAATGGCTGAACTAGCCTGTTTGTTTCCCAGATTAAAAAATGAACCAGATCTTTTGTTTTTCTTACTGTTAACAAATCTCATAAAAGCCCAAAATCTCCAATGTGTTAGTCCATCTCCCAACTTCCTTGTGAGAAGTTAAATCTGTAGACACAGGTCCCTAATGTAGCTAGATTTTTAAAAAGGTTGTCAACTTATAATGGATACTGTAGTTGTGCAATTGTTTAGACTACTTTCAACTCTCAATCCACATTTGGTGAGTGAGCGATGAGTTTTTACAGCAGCACTGTGTATGTGGCAGAGGTGGCAAAGGTACACACAATCTTACTCAAGTTCAGATATATTTGTGTAAAAAAAATAGTAAAAGTAGAAGAACTGATTCAACTTCAATATTTAAGTAAAAGTGTGAAAGTAGAGGCTCTTTGAAATGTAAAGTATAAAAGTAAAAAGTACTCCCTCTCGTCTATTCCTTCTTTTTTGTCCTGTTACATCTGTCATGTGTGATGTGCACCAGTCTTGATGTTGTGAAGATGTGTAATAATAAAAAAAAAGATAATTGATAATTTCACTAAAATGCATTAAAACTAAAGTAACAAGCCTGTTTTGAAGCTGTAAGGAGTAGAAAGATAATTGAGTAAAACTATAGTAGGGAAAAAGTAAAAAGTTGTACAGATACCTAAAGATTACCACCTCTTCAATGTAATATTGAAGAAAAAGGAAGATAAAACATTGTAATAAATAAACAATCAGCTGTGTGTGGCTCATTAATGTGTTTTTTGGAGCTCTATGGAGAAATAGGCTCTGGATTTTTATTGTTGTCACTGTTTGTTTTTGTTTTTAATGGGATCGGACGGCAACAAACCTATAAAAACACCTCCAACCTCATCTTATCTCAGT